CGCTTAGGGGCATTTCTGGCATATGTTTACCACTGAAAGAAAATGTGAATTCTCAGGTTCCCGGCTTCTTTCCAGTACAATACTCTAAACAAAAAACCCCAAAACATTGATATTAGGAGACATCACATCAAGGCTGCCAAGAGATCTTCTGTACATTGTACTGTTTGAGGCTATCTCAATAACTAGCCAAGGGAGAGAGTTTGATCCCTGACCCATCAAATTGTGTGTAATTTTAAGCCTAAAAACATTCTCTTTCTCTCATCCATGCCAGAAAAGGAAAAGCAAGGCCATATTCATCTTCAGGGTGGCAATCCCTTTGATACAGACCACTTGTGTTCCAAATAAGCTGCCCCAAATGGAGCTGTAAGCCAAAATACTACTAGGGGAGCGTGCACAGGAGCGGCCTGGATGTTTCAGCTATCTTTGCGTTATCCTCCAACTACCATATTATATCCTCCAAAGATTATAATCCACCCCTTATGAGTATTTTATCTAAAACTTCCCTCTAGTTCAAGAATATGATGAATACCACACTCTAAGAATATCTGGAAGTATTAGCCCTGCTGCCAAAAGCAAGGCTTTTCACTATTAAGTAGTTTCACAAAGGTTTTTATTAAATCCTTTTCCATCGTCTGCTATGTGAAGGAGGATGCTGGAGCTGCAGTTCACAAAGGAATGAGCCCTGGGAAGCCCAACTGTGACTGTGTAAATGATTGCAAGAGCCCCTTCATTACTCGGGGGAGAATATCCCCTCGTGCAGACCCTGCGTTGAAGGATGACAGATTCTCCCACCCTGTCCCACAGCAGCAGCACGAGGGGCGTGGAGGCTGGAGTTAGGAAGAGGACAGAGCTGCTGGACAAATTCAGGCACAGCCCAAACTGGTTTCCTTCCAAGCTGTTTCAGCTTATGTTTGCCCTTAACAAATAAAGCTGAAAGCGATCATTTTACCTTCCCTTGGGATTTCACCTTTCGGTATCTTTTAGCAGCGAGTTTCAAGACACCGTTTCAGCCAGCTGCGTAGCGCCTGACCAGTCCCGCTGTCTTTTTCAAAGAGCTGTGACCTGGCATGAGGATTACATACGCTTCATGAAATGAGAGACTTGTCAAAAACTCTGTTCTGCCTCCCCATCACTAAATAACCGTTAGCGTCCCACACACAATAGTATGTATCGTGACATCAATTTTCTGTGTCCTTCTTATCATATTTCTTACCTTCCTCTCTGTCACTCAAGACCTGCAAGGCCTACGCGTGTTTTTTGCTGACACATACCCCATAAATTGAAAAGCATCCACATGTGAAATGCTCTGACAGTTAAACTGTGTGGTGGTACAGAGCAAAAGTAAAGCAAACGGTAAACATGCCTAGTAGGTTTACAAAACAGGCTGTGACAGCCAAATGCAGATAAAAAAAGCTGACTATTTTTGTCTGGAGATGTCTTCAGATGTTGCTGCTTGCCAAATGCAGTCAGTGCCCAATTTACAAGTAATAGCAGACAAAGAAAGATTAATGGGCATGCAGATGTCAGCACTGATTCCACATTATAACGTGGAAGCACCACATAATTATTCATTCGTTCCAAACCTGTCAAACTCCGCACAAAACTGCAGTGACTAATAACTAATTTTGCCTTTTTGTTTTAGGTAAGACATATCTAGAAAGCGAACCCCCAAATCTTAAAAGTTCTGTGCAAGGTGTTGCCCTATTACAAACTTCTGAATTATTTTCCTGGATTATTTTACTCGCTTTGTGGTATTCTTGACTGTTGCTTCCTTTTTAACAACTCTAGCTAAGGCATTTTCTTTTAGCCAGTGACCTATGAAATTAGACTTTAAAATATTATTAGCGTTTTCTTGTAGGTGTATCTTGGTTTATTACTTATTTTATTTAGTTTCCTATTTGGAGGGGATTATTTTTTTTTTATTTGTGATTCTATAAAAGCCATAAGAAATTTATCGATAGAAGCTTACCGTTCCATAGGATATGCAGGGACAAAACTCAGAATTTCAAAATATATCTCCAGAATTTTTTTCGTTTGCAGGTATTTTACACGGCATTTTAGCATTAACTACAGAACTTTAAAGCATTAGGGCTTTCTGAAGGGAAGGGCTATCCCACTGAAGCTCAAGTTTGGCTGCTAACCCAGCAGCGTGGCGATGCTAACCTTCAGCTGAATTCCTGCCCGCACACCCGGACGTGGGATGGCAGAGCGCAGTGATCCTCTAGCCCCGCAGGCACGGGGCGATGATGTTTGCCGCCTTACGCTGCGTCACGGAATTGGGACTTGCGCGAGTTTCAGTTCAGGAATTCAGCTGACGAAAGTGGGTTCAAATTCCCACCTGAACCATTTGCTTGACCTTTTCGTGCAACTTCGAAAGGGGTCTTCAAAGAACATCGCTGTAGCTGTGCCAGCGGGTGCTGTGCCCACGTTTGCAGTTTTCACAGAGTTCCCTTTCATATTATGACCGTTTTGGTCTTTTTTGTTTTTTTTTCTCCAGCTGCAAATAACATCTGGGGTTTTCTTAAAGCAGCCCATGAATGTTTTCTTTTCCGTTTCCAGGCAAGTTAAAGAACCAAGGAGAATCGGTTAGGTAACGGCTCTGATTTCTGGTGACCGGCATGCAAAGTGGCGTGCTGTTACGGGACCGCTGCTGGCACTTCTGCAGTCGCCTCTGTAGCACAAAAAAGTCAGTTGTGATTCAGCCGTCACAGTAAGCAACTGAAACATCCGCTTATAATAAGCAAATTATTTAGGAATCAAGCAAGAATCACTCTCTTGCAACAGTACGGCTATAATATATGATAATGATGGTGATTGTACAGTACAGCTTTTAAGTTTCCATTCTAACTTTTTTCATTTAACAAACTTCTAAGTTCATCATTGAAATTAATTCAACGAAGATCTCAAACAGAGTACTTACCAAAGAAATTGGTAAATTCAAATTAGTATCTTCGAATCCCTCAATACAAGAAAGTCTGAGTATTATTTTAATGCTATTTTTTTATATTTTCTCTAATCTGAATAGAAGTTTAGCTTTTAAGATAATAAACACAACAGGACAGGCAGCTTAGCTATCCGAAAAGAATACAAAGAAGATGGAGAACTAGATGTTTCCGGACAGTAACAACATCAAAGGGGTGGTAGCTATTCTCCAGGATTTGTTCAATAGCCTAGCACTGGAACCCAAGTTATGTGGGTAAAGAAATTTGGAATCAAACCCCTGAACTCTCTTCCAGGCTTAGCTGCAGAGGTGGGCTGTGGGCTGTGTGTGCCCACCGATTACGGGTCTGTAAAGCGAGCAGGGCGGTAGCCAACAAATCTGCGGAGACGTCGTTACGCTGTCCCTCTGCTTTCCACAGCTCCCCTGCAGCCAGCCCGCAGA